AAGTACACCATTAAAATATTTATGAAAGATTTGGCCCACCTCCATTCCTTTCATGCCTGAACCTCTCTTGGCTCATTTTGAATGTTTTCCTTGATTTAGACTATGTGTATAGATGTTTGGATTATTGGTTTATTTGTTATTTGCATTTATGTTGGTTAGTGTAGTGGTTTGTGTATCATGTTTGGCTAAATAACTATGTTTTCATGATTTCCTTAATTGTTAGTTTTTACATGTTTGATGAAATTTCTCTTGCGATAAAAATGCCTTCATTTGATGATCACTTCGATGTTTAATGCATGATTAAGCTAAATGAAATGAAAGCATGATTGCGGAAATTAAATGGTGTGTTTGGCCAAGCTCCCAATGCTTTGGCCAAACCTCCCCTCCTTACATGGTGACTAAAAGTTGTTTGTTCAATATGTGTTTGCTTATGTTTTGGTATGATCTTCAAGTTTTCTATGTGTTTAATTAAAATTTCAAAGAATAAAAATGGTAGATTAGTAGGTTTTAGGTGGTTTTATGATTATTTGCATGAATTTCAAAACAAAAAAAAAAATGGTGGAATATGTCTTTAAATTTTTAAAATTCTTGGTTTTGATCCATTTTTAACTCCTTGTTACATACATGCTAAGCTTGTAATATATTTCTAAATATGCCTAGGTTTGTAATAAGTTTATTTTCATACATGGTCTATGCATTAAAGTTTACATTTTTATTAATGGCATTATGGTAATTTTGTCACTTTATTCCCATACATCAAAGTTTGCATTTTTATCAATGGTATTTTTGTAATTTTGCATCAAAATTTGCATTTTCATCAATGGCATTCTTATAGTTTTGCCACATACATTTCCTATAAAACCCCAAACCTAAAATCCAAACCTTAAACCCCAAATCCAAACCCTAAATCCCTAAATCAAACCTTAAACAAAACCTTGAAACCCTAAACCTTTAATCCCAAACCCCTAAATCAAACCTTAAACCAAACCTTAAAACCTTAAATCTTTAACCTCAAACCCTAAACCCCAACCTTTAACTAAAACCCTAAACCCTAAACCAAACCTTTAACCTTAACCTAAACCTTAAACCCAACCCAAACCCTAAAAAACTAAACCAACCTTTAAACCCTAAAACCAATATTTCATCCTATTCATGCATTTGCATTTCATTTTATTTTGTTGTCAAATGCATTATTTAATTGTCATGCATTCATATTTTATTATTCATGTTTAATTGTCATGCATACATCATATATTATTATTATGTTCATGCATATTGCATAGGTATAAATGGAGTTTTTCAAAGAAAAGTGTTTTAAAATAAGATAATATCTTAAGTAAATATAACTTTTGAGAATTTAGCCTATATATAAGGGGACTTTCAATAGTTATTATTTATGTGAGGTATTATCTCATTTTATAGGGCAATTTGGAAAATCTTAAGTAAGATGCATTTTTGAAGCTCTACCTAAATATATGAGAGTGGAATAAGTATTTTGATACTTAGGATATTTCATTTTGATCCAAAAATAAATTATTTTACTTAAAAAAAAAAAACTAAAAATGATTTGCCTTCAAAAGAAAAAAAGATTTGATTTTTGAAAAGGCTGAAAACCATATAAATGGTTGCTTCACATTTAGCTATCATTCAACAAGGATAATAGTAAGTTACAAAGTGATTATGTTTTATTCTAGATGATGGCAAAATTAGTTTGAAAGAGTTTCAAACATAATATGATTATTAATTCTATAAACCCATGCCGAAAACAACGAAAACAATTTTTTTCTTTGAGATAGCAAAAGAAGAATTTTAGATTAAGAAAGTTCAAAAGTTGAACTCTATAATTCCAAGCATTGTTGAGAACAATAAAGCCATTGCATAAGCGATAGGAATCAAGGTCTTAAAAAAGATCCAAATAAGTTTTGAGGCATTACCATTTGATTATAAAAATAATCAAAAGAAATGGTACAAAAGTATAATGAGTTCCCATAAAGGATAAATTTATCACATCATTTCACTATACCATTACCCATGATTGCCATATGAAAGTGTTTGGTATTGGATACTAAGGCGATTGGTATTAGTGCAAGTGGAAGATAGTTGGTATTATGCCCTAAGACCAATTGGATTGGCTATGGGATACATGTCATATTATGCATTTCTATTATTATCAAAGGCATTCTTTATCTATGAGGTTGTATACACGTAATTAATATTACTTATTTCTTATAAATAAAGTCCATGGAATAAATATGCTTTGCAAGGGAATTACAATGAGATTGTAATTATCAAATCATCTTTGTATTAAAGCATTATTCTTAAATTCTTTCTAATCGATGCTTTGTCAAGAAAAGACATTGATAAAAGCTGTTGAAATTGGCACATGGTTATACTCTTGCTTATGAAGCAAGTAATTGATCTTATAGGATGAAGTTTGAGTAAACTTCAGCTAACATGTGAGTGCTTGTTTCAAGATTAAGTTCACTAAATATGACTTGAAATGAGAATGTTATATGATAGTTTATATAGTGTCTATAACTACATTTTTATGTGATAGTTGTATAAGTGACCCTTTGACTTAATATTACTTATGATCTTATATGATGAATATTATACTTTGACTTTACTTTACTTATGGTTCTAACTAAGAATACTCCAATCGAGTATTGTTGGATATAACATGAGGCATATGAAGATGCATGAAGTAATCAAGATGAGATTCATCCATCACCTTGTGTGATCAAGAGAGTATCTTAATTAGTCTTGATTGAATTAACTCAAGAAATCTTTAGCTAAAGTCAAATAAGAGTTTAGAATTATTCTAAAGCTTATTTGTGAGTTGATGTTAAAGACAAAAGACTTAACATAGTTGAACATGATTGAGTAGACACAAAACCATACTCAAAGTTTAAATTGAGATATTATGTAATGAAAGGATATTAATTATACACTAAGATCATTACGGATAGGTTGTCAAGCCATATTGACTTTTATTTTTTAGTAATTAGGGGTCATGACAATAAAGCTAGCTCTAATCATATCTATAAACATAAGATTGGCTAATTGATGAATTAGTGATGAAGTCAAAAAGTTTGTTTCATCAATAGCCGAATACTAAGACTTACAATGCTTGTGTTTATTGCCAACATGCTAAAGAACCATAATACCACAATTGTGAAAGATTAAAATTGGGACAAATTAAGTTAGACTTAATTTGGTTTTGGTATGACCAAAAGATAGAGGAAATAAAACAAGAGAGAGAGAGAGAGAGAGAGAGAGAGAGAGACTTTTCTTGTTTGGTGCATTTGGCCAAGCGTGGAATACGTATGGAAATATACATGTCTCGCATTAACCTAACTTGGCCAAATGTCTCTCTATAAAAAGAACATTAAGCCGCCACCCTTTTTGTAAGAGACAGGCATACTTGATGCAAAAATAAGCTAAGAGAAAGTCTAAGTAAAACTTGAAAGAAAACAAGAGGTTTTATAAGTACTCACTAACTAGAGTGTGATTTGTGTTCTTTCCTACCTTAAAGAAAATTCTTTCATAAGAAGAGTTCATGTGGATCACTGTTAAAGGTTGCACACTTGGGTAACCTTTTGGCTTGAGAAACTATTTGAAAGATCACCACCTTGAACAAAAAGAGTTTCAACACACAAGGTACATACCTTAGCCGAAACCTATATAGTTTGTATATATTGTGTGTCTGTATGATCTTGTTGATTGGTCTTGGTTTTAGAAAATTAAAAATTTTAAAATTTCACTGCTTTTAACTCTGATTATTGATGTTTAATTCCTTTCATGTTCACCATCCTTAATGGTGATTGGCAGGGTAATAGATCCTTTCACAACAATAGATTGGTTAGCAAACCTAAAGATAGGCCCTAATGACCGCATATTATTGTTTGAAAATCCCATTTGCTTGAAGGCTTGATATTGAATGAAGTCCACTACACTTCCACTATCCATCAAAATTCTTTTCACTTGGAAGTTACATACAGTAGTAGATACTATAATAAGGTCATTACCATTGTCGACCAAGATGCTTATGTCATATTCAGAGAATGTTACTCACCAATCTTCTGTCTTTAGCTTTTTAGGGCTTGAGTCAATAGACATAACATTATGCAAGTGGGATCTGCACTTTGGCTTGCTGTTCACCTAATCTTCTATCACACTGATAGTGACATGGATTACCCTTTGGATAGGGTGCTTGTCAACTGCCTTCACCTGGCGAGCCTCTTGTGTTAATCTTGATTAGCCCTCGCCTTGCTGGCGAACGAGTGTATCTTTTGACGGACAAGTATGTAGATTATCTCATCACTCGATAGAGTGAGCTAATTGACTGTTAATGTGAGTTGATTGACTGTTAATGATGCCCTTTAGCTAGTTAATCACTTTTTGAAGGGCGATGCACTCATTAGTTGAGTGTCTCCTTGTAGAATGATAACTGCAATGTTGTTTTACTGAGGGTCGATTTTCTGGCCTTTTCAGCGGTTGTCTTGCTTAAGTGGGTTTTTAAAAGATGGCATTAAGGGTTCGGTGTGTTGGTTGGTGGTGATTGAGTTGTTGGTGAGGGGTTTTATTTGGGTTTGGTTGCCATTCCTTTATCCTAGAGGTTGGTTCTAGTATTGGCGGTTATCATGAAACCGTTGACTATGAATTTCAGTCCATCTGCCATCACCTAAAGAATGTTCAGGGCAGTATTCATGTCTGTTATTTCTGTCTACGGCTATGAACTCTTTACCTTCAGCACACTTCTAGCTCTCTCATAGTGCTTCTACATTTGCTCAGGTTTGTTTTCGGTAAAAGAGTACTTGAAGTGGTCGTGTCTAACCCCTGAAGTGAATTCTTGGATGGCCTATTCCGGATTTAGGTCTTTTATCTCTAGAGTTGCTACATTAAACTTTTAAGGTATTGCCCTAAGGTTGCCATTAGTGTTGGAGCAATCATTATTGAGTGGATACTTGAGCATTAAGAGCTATATTTGGGTCATTAAGGCATGGTATAATTTGGGAAAAGGTTGTTGTAAATTTATTTGGTACATGAGGATCTGTGGGGTGGAAATGTAACTTCCAATATATGAAAGCTACTTAATTATTTTGCTTTCCAAACATTGTTAATTTAATTCCAATTTCACATGGATGAGAGACAATTCAGTTCAAGAAGTATAATATAGCAAAATCTTCTAATTTAACCATGAATTTCAGCTCCAGCACCTCTTACTTTGGCTATAACCATCTTGCCGAACGCCGCAAGCTTGTCAGTGTCAGGCATAACATCCTTCACAGTAGCGTCGGAGCAGAACCTGCCAGCCCAATTAAGCAGAGCAGGAGTCTTGGATTCACTAAGCAGCTTGATCCCGCTCATCTTCTCTGTGGCTCTTAGCCAGCCCAAAAAGCACCCAAATGCAATGTCAAGGTACCCTATTTGATCCCCTCCAAAGAAAGGCTTCCCTTTGCCACACTTACCAAATGCTTCTTCCAACAGCACCAACCCTTCTTCCACTTGAGCTATTGCTGCTTTCCTTGCATCCTCTTCTTGAGCGATACCAATACTTTTTATGGATGGGAACCACTGCACACGAAAAAGTTAACCCCATAAAGAAAACTTGTTTATTTACATTATTCAACAGTGAAATATATACCGTTTTGTAAGAACAAATTATATATACCTTTTCGTCAAGATATGCAGCCCAAAAACGAGCGATGGCTCTTTCATAGGGGTCAGAAGGAAGAATAGAAGGACCAGAAGACCAAGTCTCGTCGATGTATTGTACAATAATGAGAGACTCACAGATGGGCTTATCACCATGGATGAGGACTGGGATTTTCTTGTGAACGGGGTTTGATTTGAGAAGAAACTCGCTTTTGCCTTCCCATAATCTCTCATCAACATACTCATAGTTGACAGACTTGATGTTGAGAGCAATCCTTGCCCTCATTGAATATGGGCTCGGCCAGGAACCCAAAACTTTCACATCACTCTTTGCCATGGTTTAATGAACTTACTCTCTGATCAGAAGCACAAGTATCTTCAATTTCGAGGGTATGGTTCAATACAGAAGTGTTTATTATATAGAAATGCAGGGGACAATGAATTGATAGCAAAAGTAGCAGGTAACTTAAGTAAAGCGCTCGGCCAACACAAGTAAGATTGAATTACGAGGTTATAGACCGTTAGGTCGACTGTTACGAATGTGAAAGGTTAGGTAAACTACCAAATTCATGTCATTTGACATTTTGACTCAAAGGTTTGGAAATCTATAACTATAATCTAAAATTTCATTGTTCATCAACTTAGTTATTCTATAATAACTATAATAGAAATAAATCTCTAAGTTTTCACGGTTCATCAACTGTTTATAAAGACCCCGTTTTTATGACAATTGTCATATTTTAATTTGTTGTCTTTTTAAGTTTTTATTTTTTAATTTATGTTTTATGTTTATGTTTACAATGATGGGTAAAACTAACCGGTTATAATTGAAAAAAAAAATAGAAGCGAAACTTCTGGAGGGAAGAGACAATTGGGCGAAAGAAAGGAAAAAAAAAAAGCCAAAGGTAGAAGAGAGTTTTGGAGGGGGAAATGGGAAGAATTTTTAAAAAATGAAAAAGTAAAAAGTAGAAAGGACATCAGGCCAAAGTCCAGCTGCGGTTAGAATGGAGGCAAAAGATCAGTCTTAATCTTGCCATTGATGGGTAAATTTGGTGCAAGCATTTCAATCAGCATGGATTTTTGCGTTGATCAATATTTATATGTTTGATTGTTTGTTTCTTTTCATTTCATTCTTCTCTGGTTTTTTGGGTCCTTAGTTTGGTGAATTCTTTTTTTCCATAATTACTTTTGATCTCTTGAATTCTTTAATGAGATTTTTTTTATTTGTCTTCTTCGTTTCTTTAATGAAGTCCAAATTTTGTTGTTTTTTGCTTTTTACATATTTGTTGATTTTGAGTTTTATTAGTTATTTGGATTTTTAAATGTGTGATTGAGTTTTTTCAATATTTATTTGATGAATTATTGAAAATATTTGGTTTTTTTTTTTTAAAGATTAGGTATTGACTGCCTTGATTTTATTTGCATCTTTGATTTCTAAAATTGTTTTTACCATTTTCTCAAATTTAATGTTTTACTTATTTTTTTAGTAAGTAATCTTTAAAGAATTGTAGTAATTGCTGGAGACTTTGAAGGTGTTTCAACAACTGTGTTTTTTGTTAGTTTTGCTATATTGATTGTTGAGTCGGATAGACAATGAATTAACTTTCATGTTTGATTATTATTATTTTTTTTCATTTTCTTGCAGTGTGAAGATATTTAGTGGTTTGTAAATTGATTTCTTTAAAGGTATTTGAGCAAGTGTATTTAAGGTTAAATTTGCTTTTAAATTTTTTGCACATTAAAATGGTTTTGAAATTGATCATTGGCTCTTAAATTGTTTATACCATTTTACTTGATTGATTTCTTCATTTTTTATAAGAAGTGTTCCAAGTTGGTTTGAATTCTTAATTTGATTGGTTATTTTGGATTTTAAATGTTTGATTGGGTTTTTAGTGTTTGTTTGAGGGGTTGTTGAAGATATTTGGTTCTATTTGTAACATTTTCTTTGTGTGGCAGGTATTGTTCAAAGTGTGCTGACACTTCTGTTGCAGGCCTGTTTTCGTTTGTTTTTGTATCTATTTTAAATTGGATATTTTTTATTGCATCAAGATGCTGCTGTGATGTGCTGGTTTGATTTTGGCTTTCATTATTACTTTTCCTTACTATTGGATTTATCTTTTTCCTTTTTTTTTTTTTTTTTTTGTGAAATGGCATTATTTGCACATATTGGTTGATTGATTAGTATGTTTAGCTGTGGCCTCAAGGTATGAATAATATTAGTCAGGCAAGAAAGAATAGGATTAGAAGGTTGGAAAGGTTAAGGTCCAATGGATTAGAAAGGCAGAATAAAGATAATCCAAGTGTGGTTTTTGAGTATGTCATTGGTGGGGGAGAGGTTGTAAAGTTGTTGGTCAGAAAGGGAATAGAGGGGAATAAAAAAGAAATTTGATTGTCTTTTCTGGATACATTGTGAATTAAAATAATTTGGTATATTGTTCAACAACAGTTTATCAGAAATTTGCTTTCGTGACAAAATGTAGAATCTATTCCAATATTCATAATTTCTCCTTTTTTTATTTTTTAGAATTTGTGGTTTACAAGATTGATTTCATATGATTCTTTCTCAGAGTTATGATGTTATTCTTGATCGTTTCTGACTAAAGCTGATAGGTAATTTTGAAATATTTTTGTAGTTTTTAGTATGTATAGAATAAGATATGATTTTTATGTATAATGTAATGCTGGTTCAATTGTGCTATTGGTAAATTCTCATAGCAGCTTAATTATTAAATAGTTTGTTTCATATAAATCTTCATAATACAGAAAATAAGAGGAAAAAAAAATCATGTTTGATGGAAAATGTATGTTGCATTAATCCGAAGGGTGTCTTTCAAGAACTAAATTAACTGCTTATAATTTAGGATCTTCTCTATGCATTCTTTTCTATGATTTCTTTTTTAGCCTGTTAAAAAGTTCATTAAAAGAATTAAGTATTATTTGATTTAGGTTTGTTTAAAGGAAAAATGAAATCAATTTCTTCTTTTATTCATTATGTATTGAAAAAATAAATATTATTTGATCGAATTAATGAAACATATAATTTCAGACCCGTTGTGTAACGTGGGCAACTCCCATCAAGTTAATGTTATGTACACTAGTATTATTACCCTCGCTCTCCTTTTTTATATAATTGTAATGTTGAATACTGTTGTAACGACAAATGAATGTTGTAAATTTGTATAACATGTTTTCAAAAAATGCTTAAATGTTGATAATCGACTTGTATTCCACATATTATTAGGTTTCCGTATTTCATTTTCGATTAAAAAAAAAAAAAGTTTAGAAAAGACGATATCATTTCAGGATTAAGATATAGTTTTCACCAAAGTAGACTTTTATCAGTAAAACTTCAAATTTATGACTTAAAAAAACGAAATATTTCTTTTTTTTTTATTAACAATTTTCCTTATTCCTTAAGAGGTGAATTCATACAAAGTAGAAGTTTGATCCCCCGATGCATACAAGATTCTCTTCATCGTCAGCACTTAAATAACACATTGTATTATGTAACTTTTATGTTTTTTTTTTTTAAGATTTTATTATATGATTTTAATTTATCCTTGTTTTATTTTAATTTCTTTTTATTATTCCTTATTTTGTTGATCATTTTTCGACTTTATTATTAGTAAACTACATTCTTCCTACACATTGGTGGGATTTTAAAATATCTCTTTATCTAAGAATTTTAATAAATTTTCATTCAGAATTTTCTTGAAATTCTATAATGTCATTTACACATTATAAGCTATTCATTTTCGTATATAGTTAAATTCATATAATTTAAACAAATATATAATAATGCAAGTTTTAGATTATTTAAAATTTAATAGCCTTTCAACTTATTTATTTTTCACCTTTTAACTTTAAATTTTTTAAAAAAAATATTTTTAATATTTACTTTTTTCTATATTCCTCTTTATTATTATTATTTAAAATTAACCCATGAGTTGGAATAATTTTAGGGGTCTCCTAACAATTTGTACAGATTCCTCATTAATTTATTTTTAGAACATGTCACTTCAAATTTTCAAAACATATATATCATTCAAGAATTTTCAACAACTATTTTCATTATGAATATTATTCAATTTTTATTAATTTTCATTTTTATTTAATAAATTGAAAATTTTTTTCAATTTAAACCAAAGGACATAAAAATATTATAAATAATAATCAAATAAAATAAAAGGACTACAAATTTAATCTATGAAATGGATTTTTTTTTTTAAGTTGGACTTTAATCTATTAGGCTTAAGTACTTTTTTATTGGGCCAAAACACAAATTTTGTATTAGGCTAAACACAAGTCAGATATATATATATATATATATATATATATTATTGTGAGCATATTATTTACAATCAATGTACTAATTAATTACAATTCAAAGTTATGTAAGATTCATCAAAAATTCATATAAAATCTAAGAGTATATCACCTACAATTATTATAATGCAATTAATCAATCGTAATTTAATATTGTATATGGTCCATAAAAAATTATGTAGAGTCAAGACTTTTAGATAACAGACTCTTACATAATTCTTGATTGTGATTGAGTAAGTATTATAATAAAGAGAATTGCAAGTAAGGGTGTTTAGTCATCCGGTTTGGTTAATTTCAAACTAAATTACTCTAAATTGAACTAATTGAAGTATTTTATTTTATTTTTATTAACCAAATAGAAATTTTTATTTTCAAAAATAAACTAATCACAATAATTTTGGTTAATTTGGCTAAATTTTGGTTAACTAAAATTTAATTATTATTCTCAATGCAGATATGCATGTCTACAAATCTTTAAACTTGGGTAAAGATAAGAAGATAGCTTTATTCAAATTAAGTTAATCAAAGAGCAAAGTACATTCAACAAATTAGACTATCCTCGTTCAAAATAGTAGACTTTATTTATCACAAAATTTAGTTCCCTATTATTGGTTAAAGACATAAATAGAAAGCAGTATTTCTACTGGTACAACTTAATATTCTTGACTCAAACATCTTCCAAAATTACAACATTATCCAAAATTAAGCAAAATAACTTAACACATCATCCAAAGTTAAGAAAAGTTAAGCAAACAATATTTTTACTTGCTCGAACGATTTTTAGAGAATGAGAGTTGAGAGAAGAGAGTGTGGACTCTGCTATGTCTCTAATTGTATTTATGTCGAGAGAGGCAGAAGAATAGAAAAGAAACGAGGTAGTTTGGCAAAAATAAAATTAGGGATTTTACTTTTAAGGCAACAATGAAAGTATAAAGAACAATATGTCAATGAAATGGTGTGTTTCACTATAACTAATTTTCGATTAATTATTTGGTCAATTCTGTTTATTCGATTTTAAGTCGAATTAATCAAAAATAAAATTTTATCCAAAATTATTTTCAAAAACCAAACTAATTTAATTCGGTGGTTGATCAATTAATCAAATCAAATTGATGTCAGAT